CGGCCTTCCACCCCAAAACTGCCAAGCCCCCCACGCCCGGGTTTAGCCGAGCCCCCGTCCCAGCCTAAACCTGGAGGCCGGGGGTGTCTCTCCGCCAGAGCGCGGGGCTCCCGACCCCTCAGGAAGGGAGCAGGCCTTGGGCAAAGGCCCGGCCAGCCCTGAGGCAGAAACGCGCTTGTTCGCCGAGGAGGAACAGCACAGAGCTTCTAAACCTTAACAGTAAACGGTCGAGCCGCTTCATTAACACAGCGCTGGGAAGGGGGGAATTCATGGCGTGGTGGATGGGTTGGGTTTTTTTCTCCTTTCACTTCTCCTGAAAGTGGTAATGGGGACTGGAAACCAGTATAAAAGCTCGGCCGGGTGTGGACGGCAGCGGCGAGCACTGGCTTGCCACCTCAGTCAAACAGCGGGTGACTCAGTGGCGAGACCCCGTGAGTGTTCAGACTTCCTCCTTTCAGTGACCAGGCCCTCCTTTGGATACCGCCTCGGAAATGCTCCTAAGAAATGCAAGAAACGATCACATAAAGGTGAAAATCCTTGGTTAGCCTGAGGAGCCAACCAAGCGAGAATGAACAAACGCAAACGCAGCTGAACGGTACCATCGCTCTTCAAAGTTGCTCCAAGGTATTAGCGGGCCCCTGCAGCTCTTGGTGTTTGCTGATGGCCTGGGGAAGGAAGCACGCCGGGTGTTAGCGCCAGTGACGACTAAAGGCACCCTACACAAGAAAGCTGGTGAGAAACTAACGTTTCTGGCCCTCAGATGTTCGATTCGCTTGTGAGGTTTAAGATAGGAGCCTATAGCCAGCTCAAACATAATGCTGAATAATAAAGCGGTAATTCAAAAATGAAAGGTCAAACAGAAAAAAAAAGAGCCTTCTAATAATATGATTATTTCAGCTGCTCTTAGTACTACCATAGGCATTCGGTTTGTGCAGTCATTTATTTTCAATAAACATTGGATTCTTCCTGGTTTCTGAAATTTTAAGCAGATTATAAGTGCAACCTTGAGGGCTAGAAACGCCCTACTTAAACTGAGATCATCCCGTAACATCAGGCTCGCAAAATCTTGGCTCTTACTAAGACAATGTTAAATTCATCAGAAACATTAAAAGTTACTGAGCCTGTAAACTCAGATTAAATCAATTTTCCGCTAACAGTTCTTTCTACGAAGTTTTATTCGGTCTTCGAACCTTCCCAGCAATGTGTGATTTCCCATGCATGACTGCACAGGTCTGTGTGCGTAAAGGGCAGCGCCAAGGCTTGTGTCAGCACAACGGCACTTTTAGAGACACTCTGAACGCCTGAAGGAAACAGGCAGCCTACGGCTTCCTCTGTTTTACTGTTTTCTGTTGCTTCTGTCAGTTAACCATCAGAAGTAATTAAGATCTGTAAGTTAATGTGGGTCATTCCTATTGCTTCAGCAGGCTGCCAGGTACATTTGAAATCTCCTGTTCCCACACAAATGTTTATGTTTAAAAAAAAAAAAAACCACAGTTGTAACTGCTGGGCAGACTTGCATTACTGTTTTCATACTGTAGTATTTTCAGCAGCTTGCAGGTACCTCAAACAAGCCTTGCGTTTGGCTGAAGAGGCTTGTCAAAAGTTAGGAGTTGTCCTCCTGAAGCACAGACTCATGTACAACTGGACACTCGATATTGGCAGTTCATCGGAGAGCATGTTTTGCTGCTTCAGAAAGACTAACCTTGAACCTACAAAACACTAAACCATTTCTTTTACGTGATGTTTGCTGTTCGTGCTCTCTTTCCGCCTAACCTTTTTGCCTGTGACTGACAAAGGCACGCTTGGAACTATCAGAAGAAAGTTGCCCAGCAGCTTAGAGATTGCAAGCTATTCCTGTTCATTTTTTCCAATCCTCATTACATCATTTCATGAAAAGGTGCTTACCAGCACAGCTGGTAAGCAACTGAGCAAAAAGTCCATTAATAGTAGGAATATTTCCTCTGTAGTTTGGATAGTCTGTGCCACCCATGATTAAATGTCAGTAAGATTAGGGAAGTCCTACGTTCTGCTTTCTGGATCAATTGCAAGTTGCACAACACACATTATCTTCGATGACAGCAGATTTACGTGGCCAGAAGAGGGGACACTGCGTTGCACAGCCATGTGTCATGGTATCTTGGTGACCAACGTGAAGAGTGTTTAGCACTCAGGTCTTACAAGAGTTTAGGTTCAGCTATACCCAGACCTTTTCTGTTGGCTGTGCAACTGACTCTCTCAAACTACTGTCACATTGTGTTTTAATTTTGACTTTATTTCATATTGTTTTCCTATGGCTTGGGTTAAGCCTTCTTTTATCTTGGGCCTTTCTTCCTGAAGAATGCATTTACAAGCATCCTCAGGAAGAAGCCTGCTAAGAACATTACCGTAGTCAGGCTGGACTTCCCATCACGACATTCACATTCAGTAATTGCAAGCTCATTTTTTGCATCTGACAATGCTCCGCGCGCTACTTTCTATCATATTATTTTCAGTAGCTAATAGTTAATTGCACGCCTGACCATTATTCATTAAACTATTAGAATTAGAGGGGAGACCCTGGCCTTTCTCTTTCAAATCCAGTAGATTAAAGGTGTCGGTATATGCAGGCAAAAGAGCCTGGTAATCCAAATTACTTCTTCCAGTACGCTTTTACACACAAACATCACAGCTGCCCAGGGACTGATCCATCCTCTCAGCAGAGTGCATGCGCAGTGTTACTTTGAATTCACGTCGGCTCTCAGCTGCTTCGTTGGTCTGAAGTAGAGGCATGCTTCGTGCTGCCCACAGGGAAAAGTCAATGTATTGTCTTGCCTACATAGGCTTCAAATTGTTGAAGATAGTCTCTGTTTTCCCTTGGACGAGATCCCGTCAGAAACAATGGAGCAAGCTCTCTTGTTTACAGCTTAGCTATTATACACAGACACAAACATCAGCCAATTTAGGGACAGTAATGCTTAGCTTCCTCGTTATGACAGCTGGAGAGGACAATTTAAGTGTGCAAAAATAATCTAAGCTTTTTTGATGAATGTTTCCATATATATACAGAAGACAAGTCGGAGAACTGGTGGACCTAGATGCAGAAAAATCCACCAAGGCTCCGCCTGCACACACCTCAGAGTATCTCAGCAGAGTGGCACACATCGTGTGTGCACATGCATGCATGCATCTGTCTGTCCGTCTGAGGCAGTCCCAGCCTGGGCCAAGGGTAAGTAGCTGTTAGTTTGGGAGCCCGGAGGGGAGTTTTAAGAGGGCATGACACATGGTGACAGCCAGTTTGCGCAGACAGGGCCCATGCAGAGCATGCGGCAAGAGCATCTGACGTTGGCAAAGACTTCACGTAGGGTAAGGCCTAGGGGATGCTATTAAAAAAAAAGGGAACGTTTCCATGACTCTTACACCCACTTTAATATAATTCATACTGACTCTACCTGTGCCCTTCTTGTGCATGATCTTTCCAAACGATGGCAGTGATCTTACTGTGGGCTGAAAACATGACTTTTAAACAGATACTGGACAATATTTGCACAAAGTAAATTCTGAGCTTGTAAAAACAGAAGCCAGATTTTTGCTGATACAGTCCCTGAGCACAAACTTAGCATGTGACTTAGGCATCCAGTTAAGACCTTCAACGAGAGGGCTCCCTTGGTGTGAGCACAGAGCTCACTGTACTTGGACAAGCCAGAATATCCAGGAATACACAATGTTTCATTTATCATCTGTAGAAACGGTTCCCCCCTAGCTTTAAAATGCTTGCTTTTTGCCGTGCTAGTTTAATGGCTAGAATAAATAACAGAAAAAAGCAACAACTGTTCCAAATCCAGCGAGCACGAGAGCGCTGAATATGCCACAAATATTACATCAACAAAAATACAGTAACCTTTTTTCAAAGCTCAAAGTCCTGTAAATAAGATAAACTGTGCATCCAGTCAAATATTTGTTATGGAGAACTTCCATTCCACCCACAAACTTCAGTGCAATTCAGCTCACAGACCTTATGTAAACACAAAAGCAACCCTAAACTTGGCTCCAAGGTTGATCATGTGTCTGGAAATTTGACGCTGACCTCAACTGTGAGTTTTGAAAGCTGTTTACCAAAAACATCTGGGCTCCACTTGTTCTGTAAGATATCCTAAAAATGGAATCGCGATTAACTGGAAACACTGTGCACATTTTTCAGTCATTTCTTTTAGGTGCCCAAATTTCTACATGTGGGAACCCCAGGTTTTGGGCAACAGGTTTTCACTGAGTACTTACGGCACAGAATGCAAATCACGGGGTTATGCAGAACGGCTAGTTCCTGGAAACACAGTCCTAAGACAGAAAGACAAAGGATATTTGGAGTTACTCTAGGAAATTTCCTTGGGAGACGATTGAACAGTAACCTGTTCTGCTATAGGAAAAAAGTCCCAAAGACAAAATAAACTCTAACAGTCTGTCCTACAGGGTTTTGTAGAAAAGTAATATAAAACCTGTTTTAGACAGACAAACATTTTCTAAGTTGTGTTACAGTTTTTTTCTCTCTCTTGGAGCATTTTTGCACACAGTCGGTCTAAACAAAACGCCCGAGATTGCAATTCTCTAATTTGTTCAGAATACCCTTTGTCCTGGTTTTGGCAGGGACAGAGTTAATTTCCTTCCTAGTAGCTGGTCCAGTGCTGTGTTTTGGATTTAGGAGAACAATGTTAATAACACACCGATGTTTTAGTTGTTGCTAATTAGTGCTTACACTAGTCAAGGACTTTTCAGCTTCCCACGCTCTACCGACTGAGGAGGCTGGGGGTGCACAAGAAGCTGGGAGGGGGCACAGCCAAACTGGCCAAAGGGACATTCCACACCATGTGCCATCGTGCTCAGTACAGAAACTGGGGGAAGCTGGCCGGGGGGGCCGCTGCTCGGGGTCTGGCTGGGCATTGGTCAGCAGGTGGTGAGCAACTGCACTGTGCATCACTTGCTTTGCGTATTATTATTATTTTATTTCAATTATTAAACTGTTTTTATCTCAACCCACCAGTCCCCCCCGAGGCGGGGGGGGGGGGGGGGCAGGGAGTGAGCGAGCAGCTGTGTGGTGCTCAGTTGCCGACTGAGGTTAAACCACGACACCCTTTTAATTTAATTTTTCTTCTTTGACATGCCTCTAAAAATGTGCTTAGAGGCAAGAGAGTGAGGAAGAGCGATGTTAATAATACAATAATTCTGTCTGCCCGGCATGGCCAGAAGCAGAATTTGGTGAATTTACTAGCATGTATCAGCCCCATTTAACCTAATTTCAAGACTGACTCCACTACCTGTGACTGAAAAGCTTTAGCTCTGATCCCAGTGACAGCCTGCGCACTAGCTGGACACACTGTAGCTTTCACAAGACAGATTTGCCAAGTTGCAAAAGCCACAATTAGTTTAATGTTGTTATTCCACCACAGACCACAATCCACAGCATTTGCTATACTGTCATCATCCTCTTGGAGTGTGATCCACTTTTTTTCCCCTCTCAGGTTTACAAAGGGTGGAGGGTGGGTATCATTCTCATTCCTTATTTCTGTTGTCCTTAACTTTTTCCTCAAATACTGAAAACCGCGCTTGCAAATAGAACCACCCAGCTAAAGTCAACAACCACAGGGAAATTTCTCAATACACCAAAAATCACCTCCTTCCTATGACGAATTCCCCTGCAAAACACCGGTAAGTATTGAAGCCTTCATGAGTGATCGGGCAGCTTTCGTTCTGAGTAGGATACGCAGGCGAAATGTTCTTTTTTAAAGATGAGGTTTCATTTGGGAATCTGTCAAAGAGACAAACTTTAAACAGGTGTCTGTCCCCTCTGTCCCTCAGGCTGTCGGCTGAGGCCATCAGTTAATTTTGTGAGGATGCACAACAGCGCGTCACAGGCACAGACGCTGGAGTTGGCACGCTAACAGCACTACGCCTGGCCCCACGTGCGACGCAGGGAGCCCGCACGCTCCCAGCACAGTGCCGTAGCGCGTCGTAAGGTTATCGAGTGGTGGCACCGTACTTGGGTCAGCAAGAGGCAGAGGCTGGTGAGGGAAGTAAGGCAGCAGTACAGCAGCCTTTAAAAGCTTCCCTATCCCATGACTGCGCCCATAAACCAGGCTATCCATCTGCCGGTGCATGCTCGTATTTGTAATTACTGCTCATCCCCGAGATCCCGTTTTGACAGTTTGGTAGCACCAGGTTTGAAGAGACATTATACAGCATTAAGCCTTCCAGAGTAGGTGGTGTTTGCTTTTATATTTAGCCAAAAACGGGGCAGGCGGACAAATGCTTTCAAGCGTGATGAGAACAAGCTTTTACAGGGAACTTGCAGTTAAACACCAGCTTAAAGAACATGCGCCAGCCTGATAAAAGCACCAGCTCCGCCCCAAAAACAAGCAGCGGCCCATGTCATGATCTCTCTCAGGCAGGACATGCTGATGGGGGGGGGGGGCGCCTCCAAACTGCTGTTGTTGAGCAGGTCTCTCCAGGAACTCATTTCATGGTTTATTTAGAGGAAGCGAAGATACTGGATCGTCTTAGTGGCTTAGAAGAACTGGAGGGATTTTCTCTATTGAGGTGAGGCATAGATTGGTGAGGGCAAGTAGAAAGCACAAGGAGTTTTCTGAGATTCTGTGGGAAAAGCTGGTGCCTGCTATGCTGTAAAGGGTCACTGAAAATACCCATGCGGTTTGTGCAGCTGCGATGCAGCCACAACTCCACAGGCTCCACACGCACACCCACTTGCACACCTTTCCTGCTGGGTGTTATTTCCTCCTAAGCCATGTCCGGCCCCTCGCCATCAGGGGAAAAATATTTAAAAGCAGTTCAAGAGGCTCAAGTTGGATCTGCTCCTACATGTGCTACCTGTGGAGCGGCCAGCTAGGGTTGAAGTGCGGAGTATTTGCCCCTGCAAAGTCACCTCTGGATGAGCTGGACGCAGCTCCTTCCACAAGCCAGCAGCAGCAGCTGGTGGGAAAGCAATCCACTGCTGCTTTCCCTGTGCCAGAACCGCTTCTGCCCCGCATGCTGAACAAACTGGGCAAAAGGAGAGCCAAGACCTTAGAACCTGGTTCACCCTTTTCAAACTTAGTCCACCACAGCATTTGCGGGGAAGAAAAAAAAAGGCAATTAAACTGGACAGAGGGAGAAATAAAATGGGGAAAATAGTCAGCAGGCTCTACTGGGGCAAGACCTGACCTTGATATTAATGCATAGGATCAGATATGAGGACCATGTATAAGTCATCGTCTTCAACTCAGCAGATGTTGGACCATGCCTGCAGATAGCAACATTTCAGCAACCACTAAAACAGCTGCAGAACAGGCCATGCTAGATAACACAGAAGGGCAGCTCCAGGAGTACGCGCTGCTACCGAAAGGAGTATATAAACTCCTTAGCAATCACATCTGGCTATTTCAGACT